CTATATATATATATATATATATATATATATATATATATATATATATAGTGTGTTTATGCAGTGATCGAGTAAAAAACGAATGGAATTGAACGCAACATTAACACTCGATCAGGACTATCACGATCCTCGTTCGATTCCACTCAAATTTCAAAGAGAAACAGATCCAATCCATCTATTGCTTAAAGTTGGTACTTATGATCGGTCGTTCTCCATTAATATAAAAGGCATCGTAACACGAATTTTTACCACCGCGAGGGGACTGAGATACGCGAGCCCTTTGAGCTCGTGCGACCACCTACCTGCTCGTAGTTCCGTATGAAATCCCTGAGCTCGCGCTCCTTATCCTCCAGGGTGCCGTACAGCGCCTTCATCTGGTTGAGCAGGTCGAACTTCTCGGCCCGGAGTCTTTTGCGGTCGGCTTTGAGGGCGTGTAGGGCCTCGCGCGTGTGCTGCAGCTCCATCTCGAGGGCGACATAGCGGGCCTCGTCCTCGATTACGGCGTCGTCGGCCCCGACCTCGCCGCGCGAGGCGCCACTCAGCAGGAGTCGACGCAGCCTCGCGACCTCCGCTACGAGCCGCTCGTTCTCCAGCCGTAGTCGCCGTGTCGACGCCAACTCGACGCCGTGGCCGCCACCGTGAAGGTTCGAGAGTCGAGAGGCCACCACCGGGTCGCCCATCGCTAACGAGATCAGGTAGATTTATACTCGGATGGTTGGCTCGATATTCACATGCAATTTCAGTTAGCGATTGCGAGGAACCGATGCTCGACTCGCTTATGCCAAGAGTGCGTCGCTTGATTTTCCTCGTGGGTGAGAGACGGTACGCGACCGAACAATACATATTTCATCGCGAGTGACAAAGCCACTCACAGTGTTCACTGCTCACCGCAGCCAGTTTATCGAATAAACGCATTGTCGGACAAAGCGATCGATTCTTCTTTCTTTTGTTTTTGTTTTTTTGTTTTTTCTTTTTAATGACATGGAGACTGTTAGATGAAAACTCGAGTCCACATAATATTCGGAGCTCCCAATTTGTTCTCATCGTTAACTCATCGGCCGTTAACGCGCTCCCAATTTATTCACTTCTCATCGTTAGGCCGTTAACGCGCTTGGCTGAGCTTGGCTGGCCACTTCCCGTTAAGCCAAAGCCCTCACGAGCGGACCGCGACAAACTCGGGACTCGAAATTTAAATAAAAAGAGCGCTCATAAACCGAAACTCATTGAATAATTCGATCTGCATGCAACTCTTTACGGGGACGTTTGCTTCGCCCAACCAAGCAAGCCAAAGAGCCTCCGAGTATTAATTATTCATGCAACTAAACTGATTAAGCAAAGCCGATGAATGAACGATGAAAAATGTTGAAATCGTGAAAGGATCTTTAGCTTGGAAGATCCGTATCGACTCGCCCGAGCGCTTTATCGTTAAACTCGAAATGAGTGGTGAAAGGGGCTCGCGAGCGGGCCACCGCGCACCTTTCCACATTTCACGGGCAATCGACTTTGAATCAAGTAAATCCCAGGATAGCGAAGCGAGCCGCGCACCGTCCGGATTAACAAGTCGGATGGGCATAAATCGGACACCGACAATGAGAGAGTGAGAAAGAGATGGAAAAAGATCGATAGAGAGAGAGAGAGAGAGAGAGAGAGAGAGAGAGAGGAGCTGGTTAGGTGGACGTTGGAGACGTGGGGAGATCCGGAATTTTTAGCTAAAATTAAGTTCATGCGAGAGAGAAACGCCTTTGAGCGAGCAAGGCGTCCACCAACTTGATAGCGTGCGCCAGCGCCAACCTAGTGGATTTCCGGGTGAGCAGGGCCTGCTACTGGGTGCGGGCCCAGGTGGCTCGTTCTCCTCCTCGGCTCCCCTCGCGTCCCCGTCGACGAAATCCTTGATATCCGGTTGGTACTCGGGTGGCTCCTTGCCCAAGGGCCTGAGGGTCGTGATACGCAGCCGTTCGTGACTCGAGCGCTGGAAGAAGGGTCGCGGGCCCACGGGACTCGCGCTTCCCGAGCGCGAGTCCGCGCTGCCCCCGGAGCCGCCCAGACGCGTCTTCTCCAGGGCGGTGTATGGTCTGCGGCCATTGATCCGCTCGCCAGGACTCGCGCACGTTGGCGAGCCGTTGCGTGTCTCTGGAAAGGAAGGAAACGCATAGCCGATTAGATGGGCTGCTTCGCTTTGTTTTTTCATCCTCCAACAGCGGCGGACATATTAATTTCCGGTGCATTCGCGTCAATACCTGGAGGCGCGTATAAACAGGATTATATTGGAAACTGGTGGTGGATCATTCGTTGCAGACTGCTTTGCAAGATCATTTTTTTTCTTTATCGACAATATTACGCCAATGAGAGTTTTTCGCGCATAAATTTATTGCAAATTAGGAGATCGAAGTTAAGACTCTGGAAGCTACGTAATTTCTAGACTGTTTAATAGCGGTTGAGTAGTAGTTTTTGACAAGGACGGCCACGGCGACGACGACGACGTGGTTCAGCGAAAGTGTAGAGGTTGGTTGGAGCGTAGGGATGGGTGAGTTTGTCGTGAAATTTATTCATACGAGTCCGACTTCTTTAGCGCCCAGATATTCAATTTGCATCGGAATAAATTTAAACATGAGGAACTCTATATTTTATGTTGATATTGGTTATGCAATTTTCAAGTGGTAAAACAACAATCTGAATTTCTACCTCAATCGACATCGTCCTCGAGAAATTTATACAATCGCTAACTAATTGTATTTCAATGGCATTCAACTGTATTCAACTGCATATTCTATTTAATCATAATGTAAGATTGAAAAATTGGCTTAGCCAAAATTTTCCTTCTTTTTCTTTCGCTACATTGTTTTTCTTTTTTTTGTTCGACTGATCTTACAATAGCCTAATAGGTACCTCCTACGATCTTTCCCAAGTTTGATACATTTGCGTCTCGACGGTAGCGGCGACAATTTCCGCGCCCATGGAATTTAAAATGGACATGGATAGCGAGGAATTCAAAGTTCGACCATGGGCGTGAGAAAGGCTTGTGGGAATATCCATGACAGTCGCTACTTACCGATGGGACTGGCTCTCCTGTCCACGGGACTCGGTACCTCCTTCCTATCCACGGGGCTGACGCTCTTGTCGCTGAGGGAGCTTCGCTTGTCGAATGGACTGCTCCCGGCGCTGAGTCGTTTGGCCATAGACTCCTCGTGCTGCAGGAGATGCATCTGCTCCCGGGGGGTCGAGGGACTGCCCCCGTCCGGGCCGCTCGCGCTCGAAGACGAGTTCTGCCCGGGCGGGGCGCTGCTGCTACTCGAGGGCGTCGAGCCGCTAGTGCTGCTCGCGCTACTGCTGCTGCCCCCGCCCCCGTTGCCCCCACCCCCATTATTGCTACTGCTATTGCTGTTTAGACTGCTGCTGTTATTGTTGTTGTTGTTGTTGTTGTTGTTGTTGATGGCTCGCAGCCCGGGCCCGCAATCGGCCCTCGACTTCTCCAGTTCGCCGTCGAGCCGAAGCCCCGTAGCCGCGTTCTCCTCCACCATTACGCGCAGTTTCGCCTGCAACAGATTTATTATATATTTTTTAAAGACTTTTCGACCTTTCTTTAATAAGATAGAGAAGACGGCGCTAATGCAAAGTGGTCACTTTTGTCGGATTTGTGTCGCCGTGTGCTGATTTGTCCGAACTCGAATTCCAAAGTCAAAATGCGCGTTAACATGCAGAAGGAACGGGAAATTTTTTTATTTTATATTTCTCAGCCGATTAGTGTGTAGTATAGTTTGCGCGCGTAATGCGTGCGTTTGTGTGTGATATGGTATCTTTCACTTAATCTAGAGTGGATATAATTGATAATGAAACATATCCAGTGCTATGGCTCTTTTGTAATGAATACGCTTTAATGTTCAAATACTTTGCATTATAAAAATTAATTACACGCGTCTTGAAGTTTATGTCTTGAGAATTGTCAAATAGTTACATAGAACTTTGATCTTTTCAATTTTAATTCTAAAAAATTGCAGCGTGCGATGTAGCTAGATCGTTGTTTATCACTTTAACAATAATTTTCGGAAACGCAATGGCAAATTATCCTTATAATATAACTAAAAGATTGAAATACGTGAAATACGTTTATAATTAATGTCTACAATATTTCAGTAAAATAATTAATTGTCCAGATACGGCTATAATTTATTTAATTATTTATCTATTCATGAGTATTTATTTATTAATGCGAGTTGGTAAATTTACAATTATGATGCAAAGTAAAGCTTTTGCAATTAAATTTTTCCAATTGCAATATACATTCAATTGAAATTTATAACAACATAATGACAACAATTTCGTAAAACTTCTCCGATATTGGCCAATATAATTACGTCGATAGCTTTTTCTATCATTATAGAGTATTCGAAAATATATGCTTTTATTACATCGTTAATTTAATGTGTCTAGGAACAAAAATTTCTCATTCATAACTTAAATAAATCCTGTTAATTATTTCATAGAGAGCACATGAAATTTACAGGTAATTTTGAGATTTAAACGGCTAGTTTAATTGTATTAAAGTAATATGAAATTTAAGTTGAAAGTGATATATCAATTTATATTTAACTTTAATTTTATTCTGTTGCACAGAAGTAATTACATGAAGCTAAAGTCTTTTCTACATTGGTCTTAAAACATCTGTATTTTGAATTTATTCGGTGTATTAAATTAAAATTGAAGCTACCCGTTTCGCTCTTTATTATTTGAAATTCCTCCAAAATGAATATCACGTGTAACATAAAATTATAATAATTAATCTGCAAACTAATTCACTAATTTACACTAATGAAAATGAAAGTATAATATCGACTGATTAAGTGTCTTACACTTAGCGTATTCTTATCGATAGAAAGAATAATCAGAAACGATTACATTCAGAATTTTACGATTATTTCATCTCGCTTGATTTATTCTGCTTCATACAATCCTCAGACCCGATAAAAGAGAAATCGGATTTGAAAGTCGATCGATTAAGGAATAGCCTAAACTCTTTCATCCTTGACCAGTGAGCTCGGATCTCTTGAGCTGGACAACGAGTCGAGAATAAAAGAAGCAAGACAACGAAAGGAGGAAGTGAACGTTCGCCAATGTATAAGACGAATACTCGGAAGGGCTGGAACTCCTACTACGTACATAAAAAGAAAACGAAAATGTAACAGGAAAAAGAAATATCCAAGCACTAAACGTAGCGTGGTCTTTGAATCCCAAACAGCAATCATCCGAACGCCATTGCGCATTGTCCGATCTCAAACTTGTTGCGCTCTTCTTTCTATCTCTCGCTCCGTCATCGACGACTTCCTCGATATCGTCGACTGCACTTTAGACATTGGATCTTTATGGAAGGATCTTTAGATGGATAGTGGATGATTTGCCAAGACAGCGGACACAAAGAAGCGACAGACCAAAGATTTTCTTTCCTTTGGCTCGTTTTACCACCGCCTTAACTCCGTCACTCTTTTCGTGCGCAACGAGCGCGAAGATTACGCCGACGAGAAAAGGAACGAACGGTAGGCGATAACTTGCCATCATCCGACCGAAAATTTAGAGCTTTTCGGTGGATCAGAATAGTGAGGAGAGAGATAGATAGATAGATAGATAGATAGATAGATAAAGAGAGAGAGAGAGAGAGAGAGAGAGAGAGAGAGAGACGAAAAAGAGTCTTTTAATAATAAATTTTTATTCACGCCCTCGTATGCGTGGGAGATGAAAATTCGCATATTTTCTAGGGTAGAGTATTTTTCAGCGCTGAAGACGTGACTGCAACTTTCATCTCGTATATTATGTTCGGAGCTTACTGGATACATTGAAAAATCTATTACTTTTATTTATTTTTAAATCGTGCATTTTAAGGTATTATATTATGATTATTACCAGCACCAGCGCACAACGACGTTCATTGGCTCTTTGAGTCTTTTTATTTTTAACGAACGCTACTTCTCCAGTTTATTTAATCAATATCAACACAATTATCTTATTTATTTACACGATTTATAGCATAAGAATCTAAAAAAATATTACCGACATTAATTCAGACTAAGCTCTGCGATGTCTGTATGCATAAAATGGTTTTTTTTTCTTCTTTTTTTTCTTTTCTTTTTTTCTTTTCTTTTTTTTTCTTTTTTTTTTTTTAATGGAAAATGTCTCCATGGAAATGCATAATTAATAGAAAAAAAAATCAAGAAATTAATAATCAGTTATTTCACTTTCACAATCGCACGTAATACACTGTTATTTTGTATTATTAGCTGGCTCAGTCCATGCTTTTTAACTTAAATGTATTGGAAGCTTGAGGTAATTTAACTTTTTAAAAAGCGTCGCTACATTAGTATTGTGACTGGCATTATACTAAACTTGTTTCAATGGTTTAAATTAAAGTTTAATAAATCGCATTAACTTAATAGATAACTTTATCGTGCTTTTTGCTCGGCAAACTTTTTAAATATTTCAGTAGCCGAAAAATTATAAAGTTATTAAAAATGTGTATAAAATTTCACTTCATAAATAGGATAGTAGGCGTTTTTACGACAAAATGTTATTGAAAATTCTAAAGTCATTAGAGAAAATAGAAATATATTTTTATAATTAAGCAATTAATTTATCACGTTAATACATGAAAATAGACGTCATTTTTGCTTTTAATGAATATGAACGAATTCAAACACAGAGATCTACGCATTAATGTTCCAACAAGGGACGTATTGATTTAAGAATTTTATTTTTATTTTAATCATTTTTTATATTAAATTTCTTTTACTACTTATGGGTATTAAGATATTTTTGTATTTTTTGTTTTCATTCAAACATCAATAAAGCAAATGTTATTGATACTTGGTAGAGATTTCATAATTAGGCCAATGCTGCTCACAATCAAACCTCAACTTCCTAACATTCTCTTGGATTTGGCATTTTATAAATAAATAAGTTAAATATAATTACAATCATTGACCTTCAGTTTATAAAAAAAAAAAAAAATAAAAAACGGTTAAAAGCAATATTAAAACTCGTTTTAAGAATCAATTGCTGGGAAGATTGACATTTTAAGTCACTGGGCTTGTGGAATTAAAGGCAGATCGATGAAAAATAACCTTGTTCGTCGTCTAAAGTTTCCTTATTTACAAATGCTGCTATTTCCTTTCCTCATTTTCCATTTACATCCTCACACTCGCCACCAAATGCCGCACATAATAATAATGAAAGGGAAAAATTGGAAAAAATAAATTATCAGCGCAAAGGCTTTTGGCTTCTGGCTACAGAGGAGCTCCGAAAGGCCATAGTGATGAATTTTCGAGTGGCTCCTCGTAACAACAAACTCACTCTCATGTGCGTAGAATTACAACAACGGACCAGACAATCAGCAAGTCACGTCTTGCTTCTCCATCCCAACGGCCAATCTACCCTTTCTCTTTCTCTCTTATTCACAAGAACCCGGAATTTCGGATTAATAGCAAGAGAGTCAAGGAGCCACTCGAGAAAGTTTCTGTTAACTTGATAAAGCGACTTGAAGAGGGGCCTAAGCTTCTACAAGTCCTCACTCTATTCTATTCTCATCTTCTTTTTAACCGTAGATATTTCATTTTCAGCGTTACTTGGCTTCCAATCACGCCCCCACACACGTACGTGTGAAATTAACGCTTTGTCAATTGCAATATTTTGCATGTTGAAAACGAATGGCAACATCTCAACTTGCGATTCTCCATATTTATAGCTTCAAATTGCATTCTAATCTATAATTACATTACAATTAATAGTAATTAAATAACGCTACGATATAACAATATATATTGAGTAACAAATTCTAAATTTTAGAATTCTAGAATATCGCTACATCTATAAGCAATACAACTATCATAATTGTGATAAATACTAATTAAAAAAATTTTGCATAAATGTGGAAATTTAATAATCCACCTCACGACTTAAATTAAATATTTATATATATATATATATATTTATAAAGAATTTATTCGTTAAAAAATATATTTTAAAGTATTAAATAATCTTTGAATACATAAAGAAATGTTTAATCAAACAATTTTTTTTTACCGAATCTTCACCTTTTCAAAGCAAAAAATAAAGTCAATTCAGAATAAAAAAGTATCCCCTTACATCAATTGAAATTACTTTGTCATGCGAGAGGATTCCTATAACAATGAGCATCAAAGAATTTTTACAATTAGCTTTGCGAGAGTATTTGTCATTCTAGAAAAAAGAATTCTTTGAAGTACAATATTAAATTTTAATAGCATTGAAATTATACTCGCCGTAAAAGAATAATCCAAGAATATGGACATTTTGTAAAGGAAAACCGATCCTTTACGCTCAAGTTAACGAAAACATATTTCAACACAATCACATCAATAATATAAAGTCACATAAAAGAAAACTAAAGAAAAAGTATTAGAATCCAATGGATCGAAATCAATGGCTTGAATGCTTCATCATCAGAACCAAATGGCCATTTGTCGTAATTTTATTCATTTTCAAATTTAATATATATGATATGTTCAATTTG